CCTTTTTTGGCTGGAGGAAAAAATAAAAGCATGGACAGGTCAGCAGTCCCTCACAGGGCTTATACAGATTGACAGACAATCTTTCAGGCTCATGTTTGTACCTGTTGGCAGTTTTTAGTGTCAGGTCCTGACCTGAATGTCTGTGGAAAACACCCAGAGGAAATCCACGTGAGAGCACGCTGAGAACATGTCCTCTTAGAAAAGGCCACAGTGGGGATTCCGCCTATTGACTTTATTGTTAATTCACAGTCTTTGACCACTGAAACTTCACTTTATATCCTACTCACAGAAGAAGACTTTAATGCCATGAAGTATTTTTAACAGAAATCAGTGGGCTGAAGGTGCTGTTCTTGATTTTATTTTGATCTTTGGTTTAATCATATTTCATTCTAACAGGGTTTGGTGTCTATTAAGATTACAGTGCTGTGTCAGTAAGAGTGGGTGGTTTTATTTTATTTCAACCAGAGCAAATCAAATCTCAGCTTTAATATAGATCTCATTCCCAGGCTAATACATAGTCTGTCACTGTCAATAAAGCAGATAGAAGTCTTGCATATAAAACTTCACCTAACACAAAAGTATAAGCATCAAATATAATTCTGCTACCTAATGCAAACATGTAGAAGTGCTGTATATATTACCGGAATATTATTACTATTAGTGATCAGTAAAAATTTTTGTCCACAATAAATAGCTTTAAAATTAAAAATGTAATATAGTAATAATAACAATGCTATAAAATGTGGTAGAGCAGAAGCATAAATATCCTGCCTCCCACTTTTTGACCTTATCATTTAAATGTTGCAGCGGAAACTGAGACTCATCATTTTCATGTTTCTATTGTCCAATCTATTGTGACTCATTGATAACTGTAGCCTCAGTTTCCTGTACTTGGCTAATACATGTGGCACCCAGTGTGGTCCCCTGATGCTTTAAAGGTTCATTATGCTTTTTCAATCAGAGATACTCTTCTGCATCTACGTTTGTTGTAACAAGTTTGGGCTAATATTGCCTTTCTAT